AGGAGGAGATGAATCACTGCACGAGGAGATGGGCCCCCTTCCCACACCAGCCTGCCGCTCTCCAGATTTTCACGTGCTCCTCCGGGGCTCTGCCAGATATCCACTCTGGAGAGGTGGATCGCTTTAACCTTGGACATTTTCAAATCTCGTCTTAAGCAGAACCAGGAAGGGGGGCAGTTAATGCAGGACCTTTCGGAACACCTCTCAGAAACGATTAAGGGTCGACCCCATTTCAACAATTACGGGCACAACCCCTTTCACCAATTCAGGGCCCACCCCCTCGTCCAAAAATTGAGGGTTCACCCTTTCAAACATTCACGGTTCACATTAAGGGTCCGGCTGGAAAGATTACGGGCCCACGTTTCGTCTTTCTTTGCATGGTAATTCTGGTGATTTTTGCCGCGGCTCTGATGACGGAGAGGGGCAAACAACATGATTGATTTGGCAATGTTTCACAAGCCACACGGAGAAAAGACCTTGTTAATGGAGCGCATACGGCTACAGTTGTCCAAGACAGTGAGACGATGCCCCCAAAGGGCCCTGGAGACGTCCCGAGAAGGGGCGTAAACCAAGTAAATGATAGGCCAGGGGGTTTGGGCGAAACTCGCGGGTCTGGTCCCACGCCCTTTGGGGATGTATCGAGGCTACTGAGAACGGGGGGGGAACTGGCAAGCTTTAAGCCCGTAGGTTTTGCTGACGATGTCCGCGAGTCTAGTCCCAGGCCCTCTTGGTGCCCACTGGGGGCCTCTCAGGGCCTGCTCCAGGCTATTATAGCGACCACCCTGACTACGTGCATCGCGACTCGATGTTGCCTCTCGCTTCGCGTTCCCGCTCACGACCCACAGGCAGAAAACTCAATGGAATACTGTTGGGCTCCTTGGTGTCGGGAATGGGGGGGTTAATTGCATGCTTCCGGGGGTCAGCAAGCTGAAACGAGTCGAACGCCATCTGGCGGTCCTGAGAATGCACCGAACGTTCCGACAGAAGACCCCAAGGTGCTGCGTGAAATCCACTCGCGGGCCCAGAAGGGGCCCCATGACCCAGGATCATGCATGGGACGAGACGCCTGGGGGCTCTTGGATATCTCTTGAGGCGCTCTCTGGGCCCTCTTGAGGTCCTCCTGAGGCCCTGCTGGAGCCCTCTTGGAACTGGGTGTCGGCCCCCCTTGGCCCGGCTCCAGGCTCTTGGGCGCTATTGGCCCCTCTGACGGCCATCTTGTGGCCACCCAGAAGCCTTCCTGGGGCCCCCGTGGCCTGACTCGGAGCCCGCTTGGTCGGGCTCACGGCTGCTGCATGTTGGCGGTCGGGCAGCCCGGCTCAAAAACCAAGGAGGAGGAGGAGGAGGAGGAGGAGGAGGAGGAGGAGGAGGAGGAGGAGGAGGAGGAGCAGAAGGAGGAAGACGGGCGTGAGCTTCCAAACAGCGCCACTCCCGCGCGATCGTTTCAGTCTGGCGAGTTCGGGGTCCACAGGGGTTCGGCTCCTGGGCCTGGGAGGCGAGGCTCCCAGGGGCCGGGGCCTGGGGAGGGGGGGGGGCAGCCTCGCAGGCCGGAGCCCCGAGGGGTCGGCGGATGACGGGGAGTGTCTTCGACCGGGCGGGGGGGAGAAAAAGCGATGCCAACACCACCAGGGGGCCCCACCGCCAGCGAGGAGGTCCACGATGCCTCCCCGAGCTGGAGGCTGGGGGTGTCTCGAGCGAGAGGGGGGGGGGGCCACACCACCAGGAGTTTCCCCCTTGCCTCCTCGCACCTCCTCGCCCTGGTGGTGTTGGTGTCGCCTTTCCTTGTTCCTATTCGAGGGGCGAGAAGCGTGATCTGTTGTCTGCTGCTGAACTTCAAGCTGTTCATTTACTCTGAGTAGCCGCGCGCGCGACGTGAGGCCACGGCCGCAAGATGGCCCAGGAGGCCCCCAAGACGGCCCCCAGAGGGCCCCAACTCGGCTCCAGAGACTCCCAAGGCGGCCCGGAAGCGTCCCGAGAGGGCCTGGAGCTGGCCCGGCGAGGCCTCAAAGACGGCCTTCGAAGACCAAGCTGCCCCTCGCAGGGCCTCGGGGGCCCCCAGGAGGCCCGCCAGAGGCCCCCTTGGCCCGCAGCCATTTTGGCTCAAGCCGTGTCCGCTCACTCTGCAGGCTGAACTCAGACCCCCGACGCCGTGATTGTTTCCTGACGTGACCCCCAGCGGTCAGGATCCCTTCCCGGGGACGGGCTTTTCATCCCGAGTCGTTTCCTGACGGTCCCGAGTCCCGGTTGGGGGCTCCCGGGAGCAGGAAGTGGCGGAAAGCCTCCCGTCGTGATCCTCTCACCGCTCGAGGGGGGTCTGGGATCGGCGGCGAGCCCGGGGGGGTGGGGGGAAGTGAGACGGAGAAGGCCTTCTCGGAAGGCTCCGACGCCCCCCCGGCCTCCTGAGAAGCTGTCCGCGCCTTCCCCGCAGACTTGGCGGCGCGCAGAAGGGGGTAGGGGGAGGGGGGAAGGCTTCTGAGAAGGAGGCTGCCTCTTAGAAGGCGCCGGCCTTACATCCACAGAGAAGGCCCGCACCTTCTAAGAAGCAGGGGTGCTTCTGAGAAGCCCTCCCCCTACCCCTACCCCCCTCTGCGCGCCGCCAACAGACGCCGAACGCTTCTCAGCAGGCGCGAGGGCTTCCGAGAAGTCCCGCAGCCCTCTGAGAAGGCCTGCTCCTTCTGGCAGGCCATCGCAAACATGGATCAAGGGGGCGTGGGTCAGCGACGGGTCCCGTTCCCATGGGAAGCCGCGGATCCCCGTCGCCGAGCGAGGCGGCACGGGCCGCATTTTGGGGAGGGCACCTCCCCCGATCCATGGATTGGGCGACCGCGCGCCAAATCCACGGATCCCCAATCCATGTCTGCGCGCCCCCGATTCCGACTTCCCCCCCGCGGGGCGTGCCGCCGGCGGCAGCCCAGGCCCGCACGCCTGGTGCCCGCGCGCCGCGGTGTGCGCGGCGCGCGAGAGTCGCAGGCGGCCAGGGTTATGTCGGGCCTGTCCCCCTACTGGGGGATTTCGACGAAGACTAAAACATACACCCAAAATGCCCCCAAAGGCAGAAAAATACCCCTAAAATCGTCCCCAGACTATTTTCGGAGTATTTTTTTTGACCATCTTTGGGGTACCTTTTCTTTTTCGCAGGAGATCTCCCTGCAGGGGGACAGGCCCGACTGAAGGCCAGGGCCGCGCCGCGGCCCGCAGGGGGCAGGCCGAGAGATGGCCGAGCAGGGCCGCGGCGCCGGGGCGGCGGAGGCCGCGGGGGGGCGCGGGGCCGCCCAGCAATCAGGAGGGGAAAAAGCACAGACACTCAGAGCCCCGAATCATCAGGGGTAACTCGGGTCAGGGATAACTCGGGTTCGTTTTCCGGGAATCCAAACCCGAGTTACCCCGGACCCGAGTTATCCCGGATAACTCGGGCGTCCAGAGCCCCGAATCATCAGGGATAACTCGGGTCAGGGCTAACTCGGGTTCCTTTTCTAGGAATCCAAACCCGAGTTACCCCGGACCCGAGTTACCCCGGATAATTCGGGCGCCCAAGACACAATGAATCGTCGATTCCCAGGAAGATATGGGAAAATATGGGAAGTGGGGGGGGAAGACAGAAACCCAGAAAAAATATGAGAAACTATGGGGCATGTTGATATTTGTGTGTATTTTTTATTTGTGTGTCCCAGGGCCCCTTCAACCAAGGCACCCCGACCCAGCCCGAAGGCCCCGACGTGCCCTGCAGGTTCCCAGGGGGAGGGGGGTCGGGGAGCATGGGCAGAGCGCACGCGCGTATAATTATCACACCAGAGAGAAGCCCCCCGATCAGTGTGGATGCTTTGAGAGAACTAATTAGTGATATGGACACTGAGATCGCGGCGGCGGCGAGGCGTTGGAGGCCGCGGTGGTCGAAGCAGAAGAAGCGCCACAGTCATAAACTGTTCGCGCTCCGCGCGGATCGGATTTATTGGAAATCTGCGCTGGGCCCCCCCTTGCTGGGCGGCGCCTCCAGCGCCGCCCATGGCGCGCGCGCAGGTCCAGGAAATCTGCGCGGAGCGACAAAAGTTTATGTTCAGGGCGTTATTTTCCTCTGAAGTCGGGGCCTCGGAAGCCAGGGCACTGGGGGACAGGATTCTGCGATTTCCAGAGCTCGAGGAGCCGAAAAAGACGCCAAAAGTTTAAGGCTATGGCGTTTTTTCTTCTTCTAGGTGGGCGCGGGGCCGCCCGGCGCCAGCCCTCTCCCGCAGCTCGACGTGGCCGAGGCTGGCGGCGCGCACCGGGATCCCAGACCCCCTCGAGAAGTGAACAAAAAAACATCTAGGCAAAGGACCCATGATGGTGACGACGACGACAACGATGATGATGGGAAGGGGGAGGGGGAGGGAGGAGGGGGAGGAGGAGGAGAGGAGGAGCGCAGGGCGCTGTCTCTTCAAAACGATGACCCAACACCACAGGATTGCTCGGAACAAATCGCGGCGGGAGGCTTGTCGCTATCTTCGGCCTCTGGGGGTCCCTCACAGGGCCCCGGGCGCGAGAAGGAGCGACTCGGGAGGAGGGGCCTGTCCCCGGGAAAGGGGCCAGACTTTGGGAGGCCACGTCACGAAAAAGCAAAGCCCCTGGACCCTCGCAGATCCATCGGGCTCGCACAATCACGCAGGAGGAGGGGGTCCGGGGCCTCAGCTGTGTTTTTTTTGCGATGCTGCAGCGTCCGATCTCGGGGGACGGAGGTCAGCCGGCCTTTCATCCACAGGCGAGGCCCGCGCCTTCCCAGAAGCAGGGCTGCTTCCCGGACGCCTTCCCCCTTCCCCTACCCTTACTTCGGGCGTGTCCCTCTACAGGAGGAATCTGCGAAAACAGTAGAAATTGTCGGGGGACGATTTTTCCGATGTTTCTGATGATTTGGGGGCGGTTTCTGAGTACCTTTCTTTTTCGTCGAAGGTCGGCCTGCAGGGGGGCATGCCCGACCTAACCCTACCCCTCTTTCTGTCTGCGCGTGGCCAGCGAGAGGCCCAAGGTCCGGGCACAGCGAAGAGCCCCCACCGCAGCGGAGTGGATTCTTCGGGCGGGCCCCTCGGGGGAGAGAGCCCGCGGACCTCGACAGGAGCACGCTTTGGTCTTGGCTGTGGTCGATTTGTGGCCATCCTGGACGCCGCGCCGACCACGGCCGGGACGAGGCTGGCTTCGGTGTTCCAGCAGTGCTTTTGGCATGCGCAAGACATCCCCCCGGGCTGTGTCCTCAATATGGTTGTGGTCGCTTGCTGTCCCCGCGCGAGGGCCGCCAGCCTGGGAGCGCGCCGGCCCTGGCCCGGCCCACCATCCGAGGAAGAGAGCACTGCACGAACAGAAACTCTCGGCGGTCCGCGCAGATTTCAGGAGGAGAAAAAACACACAGACACAATGAATCGTCGATTCCCCCGAAAATATGGGAAAAGATGGGCAGTGGGGGGGAAGAAAGAGACCCAGAAAATATGGGAAACTATGAGGAATGATTTTATATGTGTGTATTTATTTGTGTGTCCCAGGGCCCCTTCAAGATTTCTTGGACCTGCGCTGGGCCCCCCCCTGACGGCTCCTCCAGCGCCGCCCCCTGCCGCGCTCCGCGCGCCAGGGAGGGGGGTCCGGCGCAGATCCAGGAAGTCCGCGCAGACCGTCGAATGTTTCCGAGGCTGCTGTTTTCCTCCCTCGAACCATCCTCCAGCGTCGCGGAAGTGAGCTGCCAGAGCTGACGGCGGTGTCGGTCGCCGGGCGCTGCGCCATGGGGGGGTGGAGCGACCAGCGGGGGGGGGCGAAGGAAGAGGTGCACCTTTTGGGCCCGAAAGGGGCCCTGGAGGGGCCCCCGGGGGCCCAAAAGGGGCACCAGGGGTGCACGTTTCTCCCCCCCCCCACCCCCATTTACCCCCCCATGAAGCAACGCCCGAGGTCGATGGTAGCCCTTTGGCGACAGGCGACGATTCTGTGGCTAAGTCGCCGAGCTGCCTCGGTTGCGGTCGCACGGAGCGCAGGGACTCGCTGACCATGATCCCGAGCTGCCTGAAGAGTCGTAGGGCGTCAGTGGAGGACTCTGGGATCAGGCCGCCGCGCGTGCGCAAGACAGGCAGCATGCCGGTCGGCCTCACATCACCCGAGAAGGACTCATGCGCGTCTCCCGCTGGATTGCCTTGCCTGCGCAGGGCCAAGACCATCTCGGGGGACGAGCAGGAGCGCGGGTTGCGGCGGAAACCCCGGGGAAGTCGCGTGTGTTTCCCGTCGTGCTTTCTGAGCAGCACTCACGACGTGACGCCGTACGCCGAGAAGTATGGCGTCCACCCGCGCTTTTTCGAGTTCGACAGGCAGGGCAACAAGAGGCTGACCGATTCAGGTATCATGGAGGACATCAGACGTGCGGAGAAGTGCTTGAGCCCTCTGAAGCTAAGCAGGCAGCTAGGCCCTCTGACGCAGGTGTGCAAACACTGAAGTCTCCTATCCTCCTTTTCCTCTTCCTTTTCCTTCTTCTCCCTCTCCTCCTCTGTTGATCAACGCGTCATGGCCAGTCTGTTTCGACGGCTGGTGCGGTGCTGCCTGTCTCGATGGACGATGTGGCGCCGCTGTCCCCTCAACGGCCAATCTTGTCTTAACCGTTTAAACTGCCAAGGCTGTGCCGCCCGTCTTAACCTCACGTGCTTGAAATCGAGATCCAACCGTATGCCAATTGCGCACGAGTGTTCGAGTTGCCTCGAATCCAAGTGGGAGGGCCTGTCAGTCGACGGTTGGCCATGGAGGTGCCAGTTGCGTTTCGGCCGCGGTCGTCTAATCACGCCGTCTCGGGCGGTCGCATGTCGTTTGCATGCCCAGAATGCAGCCGTGAGTGCTGCGTGGGATCCTCCCTAGACCTCGTGGAGCCGCAGCGTTGTGCATCTCTCGTTTGAGGTTCGTCTCCTGGATGTGTGTGTACGTACTGGTCGGGGGCTGCACAGACATCGGCATGCCAAGAACGATCGTTCCAGACACCGCAGTGCCCGACAGCGCAGAGACGGTTGTTTGTCCCTCTTTCTTGGCAGTGGGGCCACGTTGGGCCGTGCATCCCCCCGAAAGCGGTTGTTTTTTGAGTAGCGCGTTCGCGGGCCACTTGATGCATACATTTGACTCGATATTTCCTCCTAGCTAGTTGGTAGCGCGTCAAGGGATCACACGGAATTGCTGCTTGACAAAGGCGCATGCGAGCTTTTGCGAAGTCGCAAGAGCATCGTTGCCCAGCGAAGTCGCGGATTGCCGTCTGCGGGGGGGGGGGTGCTCGACGGATGACCATTACTACGGTTGCTTGTCCGCAGGCATTTTAACCTGCGTTTGGGGTTTGTTCACATGTTTCAATCCGTCAATATCGAGGTTCTTTTGACGACCCGATGACAGTCCACTCAATGCTTACCGGCTGCTTGGCAGCGCGCGGAAGCATCATGTGGTGTGATTGCTTGACACAGGCGCAAGCGAGCTTTTGGCGCAGTCGCAGAGGCATCGCTGCCCAGCGAAGTCGCAGATCTCCGTGTGGGAGGCTCGACGGATGACCGTGGCGACCGTTGTTTGCCGAATTTGTTTTTCAAAAGCCCGAGGCATATCTACGTGCTTCTGGCGTGTATCGATATGTGTATACCATCACTTTCTCTCCGTGCCAGATCGATGAATTCGATTCTGGACACTCGGGTTCGCCTCCCTTTTGAAAGAGGGCTTTTTTAAATGTTCAGATCGGTCCCGCCAGTCTCAAAGGAAACCCTTCCTCGAAGGGCGCTTGAGGCGGCTGGAAGGCGACTGCGCGACAGCCACTGTGAATTTGTTACAATGGCTGCATCGCTGCGTTTGGCAGTTCTCCCCAAACCGGGTGCCTCGCGCAGGGTTTCAAACCTCTGTTGCACCCAATGCGGCTTGAGCGACGCCATAATGAAATTAGCCTTATGAAGGACCCGACCAATTGCAGTTGTGAGAAGCGTAGTTGCGAGCATTGTTTTTGGCGGGATTCCCCATGGGGTGCATGCGAGCACTGGGGCCTTCGGTGGAGTTTCCCATGGGGCCACGAACCGTGCGAGGGGTGTGCTCAAAATGGGTGCGGGGGACCGCATGCGACGGTAAGCGGACAAAAGGGTAGAACCCCTTCGTGTTCGACTCCGTGTTCGTCCCCCCCCCCCTTCCCTCCCAGATGCAATATCGGGTCGGGCCTGGCGGAGGCCCTGGGGCCTCCACCTTTTTGTCTTTCACGCCTGTGCTGCCGAATGCCTGGGAACAGGTCTGAATCTGGGGGGAGGGGGGGGGGCGGGCGGAGTGAAGGGTCCTTGTTTTGTCCATCTAAAAGGTCCCTGGTGTCTCCTGTCTGGGGGGCCCCACTGCCACGGTTGCTCTGTCGTGTGGTGATTCCGGGGCTCTCAAGAGACAGGGGTCTGGCCTGCAGAGTCCGACCACCGGCCGTGGGGACCGGAGTGAGGGCTGCCGTTGCAGATGTGAGGTCCGTGAGGACCGTGAGGAGAGAAGAGTCCCCCTCTCCTCTCTGTGTTTTTCCTGGTCTGGCCTGTAAGGTCCTGGCCTGCAAAGTCCGAAAACCCGCCAGTGCCCTGAGAACTGCGAGGATCGGAGTGGGGACTGCCGTGAAAAATGCCAGGACCGTGAGGACTGTGAGAAAAGAAGAACCCCCCTCTCCTCTTTGTGTGTTCCCGGTCTTCACGGTCCTCACATGTGCTTCGGCAGTCCTCACTTTTGTCCTCACGGTCCTCACATTTTTTTATACCAGCGAAGCCGCAAGGGACGGGAAGGGGACAAAAAGGTGGAACTCTTTCGCGTTCGACTCCGTGTTAGTCCCTCCCCTCCCCCCCAGATTCGAAGTTGGGTCGGGCCTGGCGGACGCCCTGGGGGTTCCACCTTTTTTTGTCCTCGCACGCCTGTGCTGCCGAATGTCTGGGAACAACTTTGCATCTCTGGGGAGGAGGTCCAGAGTGAAGGGTTCCACTTTCTTGCCCATCTGCGGGAGCTCTGCTGCTGGGGCCGTCGCTGGAGCTCCCCGTGGGGCCAAGGAGCGTGCGAGGGGTGTGCCGACATGGGTGCGGGGGACGCGTCGCGAGCACTGCCACTGGGTCCTTCGGGAGCTCCCTATGGGGCCACGACGCACGTGAGGGGTGAGCCGAAGTGTGAGGCGGGACCGCATGCGAGCACTACCAGTGGGGCCTTCGGCTCCCTATGTGGCCAAGGAGCGTGTGAGGGGTGTGCCGACATGGGTACCGGGACCGCGTGCGCGCACTGCCGCTTGGGCCCTCGGTGGATCTCCCTATCGGGCCACGAGAGATGTAGTGTGTGTGTGTGTGCCGACATAGATGCGAATGACGCATGTGGGCACTGCCAATGGCGCATTCGGTTGTGCTGCCTTTAGGGCCACGAAGCGTGTGTGAGGCGTGTGCTTCAATGGGCGGGGGGGATCGCATGCGAACCCTGCCACTGATGTATTCGGTGAAGCTCCCTGTGGGACCACGAACCGTGTGGGGTGTGTGTGCCGAAATGGGAGCGGGGAACCGCATGTGAAATTTGCTATTGGGGCCTTCGGTGGAGTTCCCCCTGGGGTCTCGAAACGCGTGAGGAGTGTGTCGAAATGGGCGCGTGGACCGTATGAGAGCACTGCCACTGGGGCCTCCGGTGGAGCTCCCTGAGGGGGCACGGAGCATGCGAGGGGTGTACCGAAATGGGTGCGGGGCACGCGCCGCGAGCTCTGCCACTGGGGCCTTCGGTGGCTTTGAGTTTCCTATGGGGCCACGAAGCGTTTGAAGGGTTCGCCGAAATCATTTCTTTTAGTGGGTCTACTCCAGAGCTAGGGTGTCCCACCAACCAGTGTGTGAGGGGGCTGGGAACCGCATGCAAGCACTGCCACTGAGGCCCTCGGTGGAGTTCATTCTGGGGCCACGAGGCGTGTGTGGGGTGCGCCGAAATGAAGGGGGGGGACCGCATGCGAAGTTCGCCACTGGGGCCTTCGGCGGAGCTCCCTTTTGGGCCACGGAGCGTGTGAGGTGTGTGCCGAACTGGGCGGGGAACCGCATGCGAACCCTGCCACTGATGCCTGTGGTGGAGCTCCTTATGGGGACACGAAGTGCACGTGCGTGGTGTGTGTGTGTGTGTGTGTGTGTGCGTGTGCCGAAACGGGCAGCCAGCCGCATGCAAGCTTTGCTGACGAGTCTTCGGTGGAGCTCTCTACGGGGCTACGAAGCGTGTGAGGGGTCCCAAATGGGCGGGGAACCGCATGCGACGTTTGCCACTGGGGCCCTCGGCGGAGCTCCCTTTTGGGCCACGGAGCGTGTGAGGTGTGTGCCGAACTGGGCGGGGAACCGCATGCGAACCCTGCCACTGATGCCTGTGGTGGAGCTCCCTATGGGGACACGAAGCGCACGTGCGTGGTGTGTGTGTGTGTGTGTGTGTGTGTGTGTGTGTGTGTGTGTGCGTGTGCCGAAACGGGCAGCCAGCCGCATGCAAGCTTTGCTGACGAGTCTTCGGTGGAGCTCTCTACGGGGCTACGAAGCGTGTGAGGGGTTCCAAATGGGCGGGGAACCGCATGCGACGTTTGCCACTGGGGCCCTCGGCGGAGCTCCTCGTAGGGCCACGAGGCGTTTGAGGGGTGTGCCGAACGAGCGGGGAACCGCTCATTCGGCACGCCACCAAGGCGTCACCACGTAGCGAGCAGAGTGGGGCATTTTTGTTCGTCTCCTCGGGCGAGGCCACGTGGCGAGCAGGAGGAGGGCCGTTGGTTTCCGTACCGCGGCGTAGCCACGCGACGAGTAGCGTAGATTCGTGGTTTGGTTTCCGCTTCCCGTGCGTTGCCGCGCGGCGCGTCGAACGGCGCAGTTTTTTGTTTGTCGCTCCGCGGCGTGGCCGCTCCGCGCGCTCGTCGGCCCGCGCAGGCCCGCCCCCGAATTGAGCACTCCGAGCGTGTCAGGGCTGCCGATTCGCGCAGAAGTTCTTGTTCTTAAAGACGGGGCGTCCAGTGGGTAACGATTGAAACACTGGTGCCAAGAGAGTTCCGCCAGCCCTTTATGGCGTAGGTGGTCTAGAGCGTTTCCTCTGCCAACCCCCTTTCTGTCCCTTTGGGGAGGGTTTTACCCCTCCCCTTACCCCTCCCCACCGACCTGGACGAGGGGTTCCGCGGGTCGTTGGGACGTCCAAGATGGCCCAAGACGGCTCCAAGAGCGAAGATGCGAAACAACACAACCTATTGATGTTCTGTGTAGGCTTTGGACGGATTTTGGCCTCTTGGGGGGGCCCAAGAGGCGATTCGAGGCACTCTAGAGGGGCAAGGCTACTATACGACCCCCCTTCTTTGGTAGATCTCCTCCAGCATGGCCCCAAGAGCGCCCCGAAGGCTCCCAAGAGCGCCCCAATAGCACCCCACGAGAGCCCCAGGCGGCCCCAAGAGGCCACCAAGAGGCCTTCAAGAAGCTCCCAAGAGACCCCCAATAGGCCCCAAGAGGCGCCAAATCTGGTCCAAGACGGCTCCAAGAGCGAAACGGCGAAAACGCACAACACATTGATGTTCGTTAGGTTTTGGAAGGATTTTGGCTTCAAGACGGGCCTCAGAGGCTATTCGAGGCATTTTAGAGGAGCAGCGCTGATACACGACCCCCCCTTCTTTGATAGATCTCCTCCAAGATGGCCCCAAGAGCGCCCCGAAGGCTCCCAAGAGCGCCCCAAGAGCGCCCCAAGAGGGCCCCAAGAGGCCCCAAGAGGCCCCCAAGAGGCCTCCAAGAGGCTCCCAAGAGACGCCCAAGAGGCCCCGAGAGGCTCCCAAGATGGCCCAAGACGGCTCCACGAGCGAAACGGCGAAAAAGCACAAAACATTGATGTTCTTTAGGTTTTGGAAGGATTTTGGCTTCAAGAAGGGCCTCAGAGGCGATTCGAGGCACTCTAGAGGGGCAGCGCTGATACACGACCCCCCCTTCTTTGATAGATCTCCTCCAAGATGTCCCCAAGAGCGCCCCGAAGGCTCCCAAGAGCGCCCCAAGAGCGCCCCAAGAGGGCCCCAAGAGGCCCCAAGAGGCCCCCAAGAGGCCCCCAAGAGGCTCCCAAGAGACGCCCAAGAGGCTCCCCGATATACGCAAGAGGCCCGCGGGACCGCCAAGAGGCCGCAAAGACGGCCTAAGAGGCCCCCGAGCTCGCCATTGTCCTCCTCCTCCTCCTCTTTTTCTTCCTCCTCCCTCCTCCCCCTTCCCCTCCTCCTCCTCCTCCTCCTCCTCCTCCTCCTCCTCCTCCTCCTCCTCCTCGTACTCCTCCTCCTCCTCCTCGTACTCCTCCTCCTCCTCCTTCTTCTTTTCCTCCTTCTCGTCCTCCTCGTCCTCGCAGTCCTCCATCTCCTCCTCATCTTCCTCCTCCTGCTCCTGCTCCTCCTCCCCCTCCTGCTCCTGCTCCTCCTCCTGCTCCTCCTCTTCCTCCTCCTACTTCGACGACGACGGCTCCTCTTACATCCTCCCCCTCTTGGGGTATATGGCGGCTCACCCCGCCCTTTGTTCTTCTGCATGCTCCCCCGCTTCCCTCATAACATCCACTCCCCTGGGACTCATTTCTGGACGGGCTGGTGGGGATACGCGAAGCGTTTAGAATTGCGAAATTATTGTCACTTTCGTGGGCTCCTGGGGGATCCAGCGGAGTGGGTTGTCACGCGCAACCCGTCGATATCTCGCGTTTCCTTGAAGCGCTGCGAGTTGCGCAACTTTCGCCAGTTTCGCGGATTGGGGTGATATGATGTACACCTTTTAGAGATCTCGCGGCTCCCCGGGGGGGCTGCGAACTGCGCAATTGTCGGCGCTCGCGTGGACTTTGCGAGGTCCAGCGGAGTGGGGTGTCACGCAAACCTCGTCGAGACCTTGCGGCGGATTCCAGCTCTGGGCGTGGAATTCCTGTTCTGGGCTCCGGGGATTCTGGGTTTGGGCCAGAAT